CCCCGAGCCGGAAAAAAGTGGCAGCCATGTTCATGCAAATGCCGCAGGGGATATTTAAATCCCCGCGGAATTTGCAATTCCGAAGTGTCTCATTAGCATTCCTTTTCCGGAAAAGGGTGCCAATGTAGACACAGCCCGAGTGTTTACAGGACTGCAGCTGCATTAGCGTAGCTATGCGTGTGCCTATAAGATTTCCAGTGTAGCAACAGCCACAGCTGCTATTGAAGTTAAAGATTTGAGGGTACTTTGCATCTCAGGGAAGCCATTCCTTGCAGCATTTGGCCTATTAGTTTTAAAATCCCACTGCATATGTTTTGCAGACTAGGTTCATCACTGAAGGTGGGATCCATCCTGCAAACGTACTCACAACAGTCTCACTTAATTAAAGCCTTGGGGTATGTCTACACTACAGCGTTATTTTGAATTAACTTATTTCGAATTAGTTAATTCGAAATAAGCTAATTAAAAATAATGCATCTAGACCCAAAAACTAATTCGAAATAGCGTTTTTCTAATTCGAAATAGCGCGTCCACATTGAGTGGACCCTGAATCGAAGGTAAGGCTGGCCAGAACCAGTGCCAAAAGGGCATCAGGGTCGGACTTAGTGTGTGGGGCTGCTGCCTCAGGCTAGCTGAGGTCTGTGCTTAAATGGACCCGACCCCCCCATCCCGGACAGACAGTTCTCAGGTTTCTCTGCTTGCTGGTCCACCTCGCTGAGGGACAGCAAAACATTTGTGTCTCGGAGTGCTCTGCTTGCCCTCACTCGGGACACCATGGCACTCTGCAACATGGAACCAGACCTATCCCCAGGGACTGCGCTGCGTCTCGTGGACACGTTGCCAGCAGCCTGGCTGCACTGTCTGCAGGAGCATGTCCCGGGCGGTGTGGTGCACCCTGCACGAGCAGCTGGTGCAGCTGTAGAGAAAGAAGAGATGTGGTCAGTTTTCCCTGGGGACACAGTGGATGATGCTCAGCCCCCTGCCTCCTCCCCCCCGCGACGTGAGGGCAACCATGCCCTGCACCGTCAGAGCTGATGTGCTTGCACAGAGGCCATGGTCAGGATGTCTGGTTCTCCCCAGGACTAGGAGCTGCTAGAGAAAGAAGAGAAGTGGTCTGTTCTCCCTGGGGACACAGTGGATGATGCTCAGCCCCCTGCCTCCTTGGTACATGTAATATCTGATAGATTCACCAGACTACTTCTATGTAGTAATCATTTTTTAGAGTTGGAAGGGAAGCCCTTATAGATCCAGATACAACTCACCCTCTCTCTGAGGAAGAAATTGGGAAATCTCAGTAGTAGAAAGAACTGGTCACAGCAGAAAAGCAGGCTAAGAGAAATGGGGTTAGGGTTGCCAGGTGTCCGGTTTTTACTGGACAGTCCGGTAATTGCGTCTTCTGTCCAGTTTAAAAAATCAGAGAATGCTGGACATGTCTGGTATTTTCTGTTTTTCTCAGATGGAAGGCCCTCAGGGACATTTTTCCCCTGCCATGTTTGGTAGGCATGGCCCACGCACACGGTCCTTGGTCTCCCTCCCCCCCAGGCAGGGGACAGTGCTGGCACTTACCCAGTATGGCCTCCCTGGATGACCCTGCTGACTCCGGTCCTGGAACAGCTGGCGGTGGCCCCTCTGTTGCGCCCGGGTCAGGGCCCTCTGGTTGCGGCTCGCTGTCTCCCAGGCTGGTGTGGACCACCCATCCCCCCAGGAGTTGATCAAGAGCGGGGAAGTAGGGGTAGGTGGCAGCCCTTGCTGCGGCGCCGCCCCTGGTAGCCCTGGTGTACGCCTGCTGCAACTCTTTAACCTTCGGGTGCACCTGCTCCTGGGTGCGCCTGTGGCCTTTCCTGGCCATGGTGGCAGCCATGCAGCCGTAGACGGCAGCATTCCTCTACCTAGTGCGGAGATCATGGATGTTGGGGGCCTGCCCCCAAACCTCAATGAGGTCCATGACCTCCACACTAGTCCAGGAGAGCGTGCACCGTCTATGGCCCCTGGCTGGCCCCTGGGTGCTGGGGGACTGGGCGGGGGAGATTGCCTGCAGCAGGCTGCCATCCTCTGGCCACTGGCTGAGGGTCTGTGGCTGCTGGCTGGCCTGGCTCTTGCACAAGGAATAGCACTTATTTTGAAATAGTTATTTCAAAATAGCAGTAGCGTGGGTGCTCCGCTTCTTCTATTTTGAAATAACTACTTCCCAGAGTCATTGAGAGTAATTATTCTCCAGTACTTCCTAGGGCTCTAAGTCAAGGTAGAACATCCACATTAATGGAGCTTGCCTTGGACTAATTTTGAGGCTTCCCTGTAGTGTGGACATGCTATTTCAATTTTATTATTTTGGGAGTTATTTCAAATTTAGTTATTTAGAAATTATTTCCTAATGTAGACATGCCCAAATAGAGTCAAGTCCTGGTATGTTTATTCATGGTTCAATACTTTACGCCAGAAATAGACCCCTTGATGCTAATAAGATTATTTGTGAAATCTTGCGCTGTTGAGCAAGTAAATGTATCAGAATAGGATATAAGAGCACCATGCACATTATATGTTCATAGGTGGGGCCTCAGTGGGATTGCTTTTCTGAGTAAGGGTTGCAGGTCCAGGTTATTGGTTACCAACTCTCAGAGTGAGCCCTTCTCCTGTAACAGTGTGAAGTCCAAAACAAATCAAACAACATTAGGAATAATACAGACATGATTTCATCACGATATACACATGCAAAAATTCTATGCCCATTGCTACCGATTGCTGCCCATTGCTCTACAAAAGATATTCTCAGTAGTTTTGTAGTAAAAAAAGGACTAGCTGGTGGTTTACTAATAACAGAGAATCATATTACTGTAATAAACTAATGGCCTAAATGTATACAATTTGGAGACACTACATGGACAATGTTCTTTTCTCAGTTATTTGTAACTCATTGAAATAGTCTTAGCTAGTTTGCCTGTCAGATTCGTTTATGTGATCCTAAAATGCTTAATCTGGATGGAGACATATCACAGAGATTTTTCTTCTGCGATGTGCTACAAAAAATGTGGCTCAAGTAAGCGTGTGGTTTACCTTTATGTGAAGGAGAATGTTATTCAAAGCATCATATAGCCAACATGCGGAAACCTAGAAACTAGTTAATGCCTTGTAACAAGTCTGAAATGAAGATGTTCAACCAAGAAAATGACATTAAGCAGCTCTAGCTAAGGCAGAAAAGAACAGCTTGTCAGAATCAGGTGAGTGTTGTAGTGACATATAGACAATAAAATGGGATGACACAGGCTCTTCTCAGTGGGAGTGTTTTCTCTTGCTGTCTCTGGGGAGCTTCAGTGCACTTTCTTTGTAGGAAACCTTTCTGCTAAAAAATGGCAGCAAGCCCCTTGGAGGTCTTATTAAAATTCTTCTTCTGAGCTGTAAAATATGTTGTGTATGGCAGATGACAGTACCCCAACAGTTAATGCTGTATAGTGTAAAAGAAAGTAGCAGAGGTCGTCATACCAGCTACTGACATATTCCAGGAAAACTGCACAGTTGGCATCTTGGAACAGGAAATTAATCAGGAGGGAGAATTGGTTCATAATCCCATGTGCAGCAGGTGTCTAAAGTTATTATTTATTATTTACCATGCATAACATCAAATGTGCATTGTACAGGCAAATATAGGGGTAAGGTGTGTGCTCAAAAGAACTGATAATTTACACATCTGATCCTGAAAGTTGCTGAGGGCCTCCTGGGGGGAACTGAGCACCTTCATCTCTAACTGAAGATAATTTTGGCACATCTCAGGAGGTCCTTCTTGTCTTTCTGACATAAACACTCATACTGAGACCTTCTAAGTCTTGCAAATAAAGGGAGGATTTGTCTCTTGCCGTGCAACCTTAGGTAAGTCAAATCCTTGAACTCCCCGTACTTCAAGTTTCTACATCCATATATTATTAGTAGCTTCCTACATGACAGGAGAGCTTTGAGACTTCAGCCTGAGGGAGACTGGATACACATACCAGAAATATGCAGACAAGACCCAGATGATAGACACCACTCCCAAAGGAGATCCCAGAATTAGCATGTGGTTGAAGCTTAGCCAATGGAAGCTAAACTAAAGCAAAACAAAAGCCGAGGGGTAGCCGAGTTAGTCTGTACAGGATAAACTTAAAAAACAACAAATAGTCTGGTAGCAATTTAAAGACTAACAATGTGAGTCTACATGTTTTGTTAGTCTTTAAAGTGCTGCCAGACTATTTGTTGTTTTTAAAGCAAAACAGACCTGAGAATAGTGGAACAGGGAAATAGTTCAGAGGACTGGGTGAAATAACAACTGAGGGTCTCTCTCCTCCATTCATTAAAGGAGTGAACAGTCTCTAGGTCATTCTAAACCAGAAGCATCTTCCTCCTGAAATTAGGACTATTGACTCTAGATTTATCATCAATGCATTCATGGCAGGAAAAGCTTATTTCCAGCCCATCAGGAATGACAATGAAGAAGCTAGACATGGAGATAATAGTCCCTTAGCAAGAGAGAATTGAACAGGGGAGAACTGTCTTCTTGCAGACTTGCTACAAAGACATGTGTCCAGGTCACCTGATGCTGGAATTCATCTTGATTTTTTTACTTTTCCACAGAGGTGTTAGGGAATCAAACAAAAGCTTCCCATCCTAGGGAAATTCTATATCAGGTAAGGAAAGTAAACAGATATGGTTTTCAGCTGGCTTTACAGACTCCCTCTCATTCCCCAAGGTATACATGAAAATGCCTGGAAACAAAAAGATTGTAACGAGAGAGGTGGAAGAGAACTGCTGGACTCAGGTGAGAAAGGACATCTCCGGCCTGAGATGGACTGCCTGAAATAAGAACTAAGATGAGAAATTATGATCTGTAACAAATTGTCTTAGGCTATGTCTACAGTACATGCTTTGCCGGAAGAGGCAATGCAAATGAAGCACAAATTAGCATTTGCTCATGCTTCATTTGCATAATCTCTTCCAATCTGTTTTGCATAAGAGGTTTTTGCGCAAAAACAAGCAGTGTGGACGCTTCGGTTTTACGCAAAAAGAAACCCTTTTTTGCTCAAGATCCTTATTCCTCCTTATGCTGGTAACCCCGCTTTCATTAGGAGTAAGGGAAGTCAAAGGAAGAGTGTTCTTTGTTCAACTTCCTGCTGTGTACACAGTGCCAAAAGCCGAGTTAAGTTACTTCGACTTCAGCTACTCATTTAAAGTAGCTGAAGTTGCGTATCTTAATTCGACTTTGTCCTGTAGTGTAGATGTACCCTTAGTGTATTAGGCTTAGCTGGCATATTTTGTTTTATTTTGCTTAGTAACTTACTTTGATCTGTCTGCTATTACTTGCTTAAATCCTACTTCTTATCTAATCTAATCTATCTATCTATCTATCTGCGTGCATCTGTTTGTCCATTTGTTCAAGAACTCCTCCTAACCTGTAAGAGCTGGGACCATCAAATTTGGTATGCAGCTTCCTCTTACCCTAACTTACACCAAAGTCAAGGTTTGTTTGTGCCTTGGAAACAGGAAGTGCGAGGAATGGGACTGTTTCCCATAACATGGAAAAGGAGGGAGCAGAGAGAAGAGGAATGCAAAAAGGAGGGGCACATAGAGGGGAGAGACATGATACTGGAGGGGGGCAGCTGCAGAGGGGAGCAGTCCCCCAAAGCCTGGCCTCTCCACAGACAGTCTACAGGCTGTGGGGGAGAAGGCGCTGCTGGAGGGGGCAGCTCCCAGAGCTTCGATTCCCCAGACAGACTGCAAGGGTGTCACTGCAGGATGGGGCATTCCCTAGAGACTTGACCCTTCTGCAGGCCATGGGGGTGGAGTGCTGGAGAGGGTCCCCCCCCCAGACAGCCTGCAGGCTGTGGGGAGGACAACTAGGGGGTTCCATTTGCAGGGGAGTCCTGCCCCAACCCCTGGTAGAGTCCCTGCAGGAGCAGTGCCATCCTCATTGTCACAGGCAGCCCTGGTAACCCCCCCACCTCCTAACCCCCTGCCCTGAGTCCTGCACCTCCCACCTGCCTTGACTTCATAACCTCCTATCCCTGCCCTGAGCCCCTCCACCTCCCAATCCTCTGCCCTAAGCTACCCCTCCCCTGCCCCTCCTCACTCCCAAACTCTCACTCTAGCCTTCATTTTCAAAAAATACAATCACTGAAGTAACAGACCCGAGCAACGCCGGGTACATCTGCTAATACTTAATACAATCACTTTTGTTTATTATTAAGCCGAGTATAGATAACTGTTATGGGGGGAAGCAGGTATGCATCTCTCTCTTTCATTCATAAAGGGGGTGAACAATTTATGAGGTTGCTTCTGTATAAAACTTTTAAACAGATTAAGATGGATTTATCTGGGGTTCTGGTCCTATTGAGGCTGTGCAGCTGGTGCTATGTTATGTCCCTGTGACTGAGCCTTCCGAAAGCTGAGCTGCTTGCAGTGCTTGTGTTGCTCTGCTGTGGGCTGTGACCCCACATCTGTGCCATTGCTGAGAGAGACTGGAGGGTTTAGCTCAGTAGGACAGGGTAGTGGGGTGCCCCAGAGAACAGATAGGTGGACTCAGTGGTGACATCAGGTGACAGTCTCAAGGGGATCTCTGTATCCAAGCCCAACACGACATGGACCAAGCCACAATGATCCACATATTTGTGACCTCCTGATTGTTACTGCAATGCATTGTACTGTGATGCACCATCTCAGGATAAAATTCAGCTGGTACAAAATATAGCAATTACTCTCCTCTGTTAAGTAACAAGGTCAATGCAAACATATCTTTGTAATGCTTTCTGCATCCTACACTGACTTCCTAAAGAATTTTGGACTGAATTCTAGGTGCTGTTCTTGATCTTATTGGTTCCAATCCTGCCAATGCTGAGCACTCTGACCTTGGTCTAGCAAAGCACTTAAGTATGTGAATCTTGTGGTCTTTCGAAGGAAATGTAAGACCCAGGCCTTTCCAACAAGAACCAACCCTACCCAGGCAAATGGGAAACAAGGAGGGGTACCTAATATGAAATTCATACTAAGTGAATGGATGTTAGTCAAGGGAAAGAAGAGAAAGAGTCTCTTACTATAGGATCATGGAACAGAGGGACAGAACAAGAGCTCAATTATTTACAGATCCTGGCCTTTATTAAATTTATTGTAATGCATTCAGAGGCCCTGGTGATTAGTTAAGGAGACAGACAGACATATGGCAAAGCATCTGAGGTCCTCAGATGCAGCCCCTGACGCCACTGCGTATAGCAGAGGATGGGTAGGAGTAAAGGAGTCAATTGTGGTTCCTTGAGTCTCAGGCTGTCTCTATGCCAGACGTGCTATAGGTTCGAGCTAATGGGGGGTGAAAGCTGTATTGTTTTACATGAAGAATATAAAATCAGGGCTAATCCTGTAAAATCCTACTCAAGTGTGCCTTAGACACAGGCTTAAGGATTCTTTCTGACTGTCAAGTTTGAGGAAATGAGTCTTAAATATTGAACAAGAAAATGTGTTTCTCTGTAATTGCTTGATAGCCACTGGGTTAGCAATGGAAGACAAAAATCTTACTCTGAGTGCACGTGATTTCTGGTAACATGCACACAGACATGTGAAATAAGAAACAAAATTGTGTTTTGTTTTTAAATGCAAGCAGTTTGCATAATTTTTGCTGGTAAGAAACCTCTACACAGGGCATTAAGGGGAAAAGACCTATTCAGAAAACAAAATCTAGATCTCAACACTTTTTTCAAGATATTTCGTTAAATCGATTGTCATGTGCTACCAAGTTTTATATCTAAAATGACAAGCTATAAAATGAGGTTAATTTTGATGAACTAATTTTATTATAATATGGGGAAATAATAATAGAGGGCCATAGCATAGCATAACTTGAACAACAGAACACCCACTTATTGGGAGTTTTGCTTGAAACTAACATTCCAATGTGGCCCAGATTTATTATAAGGTATATTTAAGAGCTGATTCTGCAACTCAGGCCCGGCCTTAGGGCTGGGCAAACTGGGCCTTTGCCCAGGACTCCTTAGCCAGAGAGTGAGGGACAACTGGGCATGGGTGTTGCTGGGCAAAGGGGGTGGAAGGTACTGGGCTGGGGGGCAGTGTGGCAGGACATGCTGGAAGCACAGGGCTGGGTTTGGGGGTACATATGGGAGGAAAGTGTATGGGTTGAGATGAAGGGGGCATTGTGCAGAGGTTATGGGCAAAGAGGCACAGTGCAGGGGCTAGTAGTAAAGAGAGCACAGGATGGAGGTGCAGGGGTTGGGGGCCCATGGGTGCCAGGGGGAATGGGCAGTGCTATGCCCATAAGGGTAAGGGGCACCAAAACACACATTAACTCTGGGCTCCATTTTCCCGTAAGGCCGGCCCTGCTGCCACATTTACACAGTGAGTAGTACTTACTTATGCTAGGCCCAATAATTTTAATGGGGGCTACTAATTATTGCAGGATCAGCCCAACATCAGTATCTTTCCTATGACTTCTAATCAATGTCTATTCTACTTTCTCAGGCACCAATTCCAAAGACATTAACAAGACTACAGCATTGGTACTAGCTTCCCTAAAAGGAAATTCTGTCGATACTACCCATTTAATGGATTTGTACAAGCATACACTCATGACCTTTCTTTTCTCTCCCCTTCTCGGACTGTAATGAACAAGATGAGTTGGCTGACTCTTCCTTCCCCGGAATAAACACTTAAGTCTATGTTAGGTGGTATAGGCTGAAAAACACTTCGACCAATGTTATCAAATGTGACTAGTGACTTTGGGTGCCCTCGTGTTTGAGTACCAACCTGAAAGACACCAAAAGGGGCCTGATTTTGAGCTCATTGCCCTCTGAAAATTAGGCATTTTTGAGATGTCTTGAGTTTGGCATTCAGAAACTGAAGCCCCAAAAATCATATTTTAAAAAGAACTCTGACCAGTACTTTTTTGGGGACAGATTTAAAATAAAGCTTGTCACCTAGCATCTCCCATTGGACAGGCTGGTAGAATGCAGGATTTGGAAACAGACATTACTTTTCCTTTCCAAGGTCTGTGAAAGAATTTCTGTGCAACCATGGGTAAGTCATTTAACTACCCTTACTCTATGGCTCTGTTTTCCCATCTATAAAACAATAGTATCCCTGAGGTGTTTTGAAGACTAATTAATTAATGTTTGCAAAGTGCTTTGAGATCTTTGGATGGATTACAGGAAATATATTTTTATTAATCCCCCAGTATCCATCCTTCAGCATCATATGTCAATGATGTTGTGAAGAGTCGCAACTGAAAGGGTGTTTAAGATCTGCTGTCAAAACGCTATCACCAAGATCAACTGACAGTATATAGCAGTCAAGCTTTCTTTAACAGTTCTCTATTTTATGGACCCAGAATGATTTTGCTGATCTAGATAGATGAAGAGTCATATTCTTTTTCTTTCCCCATTTCCTTAGCCTTTATGAAGCAGCAATAACAAAGGACACTGAAGTGCCATCTTTTATCACCACCAAGAAGTAGCAATAATTGAGAAGCTTAACATGAACAGTGCGTATAATACATTTTACTGCCCTGTACTATGAAACTAGTCAAGCAATTGCTATACGTAACGTACAGTATAGATGAAGCTGTTTCTTGATGCTCGGTGAAATCAATATGGCAAAATTTCCATTGTGGAGTCAAGATTTCATTCTGATAATGGTGGGGAGAGTATTCAATGATATGCTGCTTTACAACCCATCTAGCCTTATACTAAATTCCCCAGGGAGAAGAAGTGGGCCCCAAATATTGCCAAACACCACAGAAAGCAAAATATAGTTCTGTGTCTACAAAAAACACTGAGGGCTTGTCTACATGGGGACTGTACAGGGCAGTTAATGTGAAACAGTTAGTGTATGCATTAAAACTGCAATAGCGTTTCCATACTAGCCCACTGGAGGCAGTGGGATTGTGGGTCCTGGGACAAGGTGGGCAGGTGGGTCCACACCCCTAGAAAGGATGGGGCCAAGGGCAATGAGCCATTAGGGCACATCTACACAGCAGAGCAATAGTCAAATTAAGCTACGCAACTTCAGCTACATCAATTGCGTAGCTGAAATCGAAATAGCTTCATTTGGCTTTTGGCGCTGTCTACACAACGGGAAGTCAAAGGAAGAGCACTCTTCCTTCAACTTCCCTTACTCCTCGTGAAATGACAGTTACAGGAGTTGGAGTAAGAAGTCCTCCAGCTTGCCACTATTTCAAAATAATGGCTTGTTGTTTAGACAAGCTTTTTGTTATTTCAGAATAGTAAATTATTCCAAAATAATGCTGCTATGTAGACATCCCCTGAGTGTCATTCAGACCACAGCACACACACACCCCGACTCAAGCCCTTGGAGCCGTACAGAGCCCCAGAGCATCGCTCCAGTAGCAATTCAAAGGGACCCAGTGCTTTGGCTGTTGATAATGCCATAGACAGGAGCTCCAGGCCCTGGTGCAATTTCCCTTTTTGCCACTCCCCCCCACACACATTGTTGGGCTTGACTGGGGGGGGGGGCAGGACATTCTGATTGTACCCTAAGTTTCCTGCTACACTGCATAGCACTGGCATAGGGTGGGGGGTAGGGGGTGCAATCCCGACTAGTGAGGGGTTGTGTCTCCATCTGTCTTGTAATCCTGTGGGCATGAAATGCACTGGTAGTGTGGTTCCCAGCCAGGACACCAGCAACCAGCAGACAAACATGCAGGTCATACCAGAGTATCTATGAGCTGTACAACCCTCGATCAGCAACTCTGGCTCCAGCAGTCTGTCTATACTACAACTGACTTCACTCCCGCTACCACCAGCCTTAGTTACTACTTGCAAGGTAACCCTAACTCACTTCCAGTCCCAATTTTCCCCCAAACTGTGTCCTCTGCAGTTGCCCTGCCCTCTCCTGGACAATTCAGTGATGTAATACGTTTCCTTTGCCTCATAAAGAAACAAAAGCTCATTACAGCTTATTAATTTGACTGAGGTAAATACACTTTTCCCTTCAAATAGCACTAAGGTAGTTTATAGTAAAAATAAAACAGATTTGTTAACAGTAGGACATAGGTTAAGTGATGCTAAGGGAAAGACATAAAAATAAAGATAGTTACAAGCAAATAAAAGTGAAAAAAGCATTTAAAAGTCTAACACTTAATCTAGCAAGATACAGGTTTTGTTTAAGATGGTTCCTATCACCAGTCACTCTTATTCCCAGCCATGGCTGACTTTCCTTCTGTTAGAACGTTCCACAGAAGCACAAGGGTTCCCCGGTCTTGCAGGTTTCTCATCTATATTCAGTTCTCAGAGACTGCAATCCCTTCTTGAAGGACCCATCTTTCTCAGCTTGCAAGAGTTGTGGCCCTTGTGACTGTTCAGTGATGGACATCAAAATGGCTTTCTGTCTCTGCTTAAATCTCTCAAAGCTTAGTAACCTTATTTCAAGATGCAGAATGACTTCATGCTATTCTCCCATTTAAGTGTAGAGCCCTGCAAATCCATAGCATTGCATTTCATATTCGTGGGTATCTGCATGGATGTGGATACAGATGCAGATATCTGCGGTTCATTCTTGTGGATACACATGCAGATGAGGATACAAATTTTGTATCAAGAAACCTGCAATTTGTGGATATCTGCTTTATATCTGCAGGTATCTGCATCTGTGGATGTCAATGTGGATATCCATGGCTCATTTTTGCAGATACAGGTATGGATGTGGACACAAATTTTGTATCCTTGCAGGGCTCTATTCATGTGGGATTGCCCTTCCTTTGCTGATGTGAATATCAATAAAGTATCCGTGGTTTTTGTCACACATGGGATCACCACTATTTACTTCTCTCCATTCTCAAAACTGACCACCTAGTGAATTATTAGATTTCCAGTGAGTAATTACTTGATACCTTTTAAATACAGTTTATAACCATAATGAGCTGGGGTACACTGAATTAGTCAAACCAGATGAAACTTATTTACTAGTGAGGTCCGTGGTCTGTGGCACTGGGATGATCTTATGCTAACAATGGGCAGCTACACACTACAGTGAAAAGCACAGAGAGATGAAGCATGAGAGGAGAAATATGAGAAACAGAAATGAGAATGCTGTTTACAGCCTGACTCATCATAATTACTATTTATTATCTGGCATTCAAGAAACAGGACCAAGAGAAAAAGTACACCCCTAAAAATGTTATAATACATTACAATATGAATTAGAAAACAAAATGAGCAGATGTTCATCTACTGTGTTTTGCATAAATAAATATATGGAGATATACCTATCTGATAGAACTGGAAGGTACCTTCAGAGGTCATTGAGTCTAGTCCCCTGCCCACACAGCAAGACCAAGTATCATCCCTGACAGAATTACCGCAGATCCCTAAGTGGCCCTCTCAAGGATTGAGCTCACAACGCTGCATTTAGCAGACCAATGCTCACACCACTGAGCTATCCCCCTTGAAGGATCAAAAAAAAAAATACATCCTGATAATATTTGAAAATGTTCCTAAGCTCAAATCAAACTTTCATCCAGTTACACGCAAAAATTAACTATATTCAAAAAGGACACTTATTGGTTCAAAGACAATGTATTTTTTAATCTAAGTTGCCTGCAGGAAAGGCCATTTTTTCAATCTGAATTTAAGCAGCAAAGAAGATGACACTAAAACAATGATAACAATACACCATTTTAATGAAATCCTGGCCCCACAGAAATCAATGAAAACTTGGCCATTGACCTTAGCGGGGCCACCATTTCATCCTCCATCAGGTCTATGCAGATATTTATATTTACCCTCTGTAAATAAATTAAACTTTAAATGTATTCTCCAGGTACAAAATATCTGAAGCAAAAAATGAATTAGTTTGTAAAGTTTGACTATACTGAATGGAAATATACAGTTTTTGCCTTGCCTTGTATGTTGGCCATCTCAAAAACCAAATAAAAATCTGATCTTGAAGTTTCTATGACACTTGATGCTTGTTTTTTAACCAAATGTCACTAATAACCACCACTAACTTTCATTTTGCAAGCATCCAAAATACTAGATAATATTAAGAAAGGAATGTAAATGATTCATACTTTGAATTTGTTCATGCAAAAGAAGCAGAGGATGGACATGTTTAAAAACACAGCACCTACCAATAAACAAACCCTTAAACATGCTCTGTTTTGTTTTTAAATAATGTTAAATTTCACCATATGCCAGCATATAATTTAACAAGGAAATTAGTTACAATTAATCAACATTTAATGAAAATAAAAATTTGGTAAAATGTATTGTTACAGTGTATACTGAGTAGCACGCTGCTCTTGTTCACTAAGAAAAGCAAGTAAAGAATCAGTGAAGCAACTTTGAGGACAGATTAATGTAAATCTGTAAAAGATAAATGTTATTTTACCTGTGGGTAAATAAGATCTCCATGGCATATGTTAAGATTAATGTAGCAGCAAGCAATAAGAAGAAGATACACTTTAAATGATCAACATGCACTCTGATCTTTTATTTAAATAAAATCAGTTCAAACTATTACCAGTATTATCATCTGACATTTTTGTGAGCAGTCTGAAGGCCACCATTATGCTAGGCACTATCCAAATACATGGTAAATATAGGGCCACTTAAAGAGTGCACTGTTTTTGGTACCACATTTGCCCCTTGCTATGTGTTGTGGTTTTACAGCCATATATGCCTTGTTTAATGCTTCTTTCGCACTCACTATTGTGCAGAAGAGAGACCCAGCTCATTGATTATGCAGGAAAAACACTGAAAGTGACTAGATACAACTTGCTGTCAAATGCACAACCTAGAGAAACAAGAAAAAAGGGAGAAATATTTTTTTCTAACGTGTCAGTAGACTGTATTATAGGTTGAACCTCTCTAATCTGGCACTCTCTTGTCTGGCAACAGTGATAGTCTGACATAATTTTAGTTAGCCAGATGTCCATTTATCATTGGTGTGGCAAGTTTCCCGTGGTCCCATAAAGTTTATTTGCAGCCACCAGTCCTAGCTCTCAGTGTTCTGTGCTGTTATTTACTTCCAATTTACCCTTAAATGTCTTCTAAGAGACCACAAAACCATGGAAGTGTTGGTAATGCTACTAGACAATATTGACCTCTTGTGGTTCGGCAAATTCTCTGGTTTGGCACCAGTCAGGTCCTGAAGGTGTCAAACTAGGGAGGTTCAATCTATAGTAATAATAGGAGGTAAAGACTTCATGGACTGAAATGTGATTTTTAAGTAGCTGGGGTCTAGTTCAGTGCATTTAATGTTACTTCTAAAAACTGTATCCGTTTTCTGCACGGTAATTTATGGCTTGCCAAGGAAAGATAAAAGGTGTAAGACTGTTTCCTTCCAGTTATAAATTGGAGTCTGGATACCTTATTATTACACTAGTGCCTGGAGATCACAATGGAGATTGAGGCCCCTTTATGCTAGAGCCAGTACAAATAGATAGTAAAAGACAGTCCCTAAATAGGGAAAACAGACAAAGGGCAGGAAAGGTAGTATTATTACCCTCCATTTTACAAATGG